CAGCCCCTCACTGGGGGATTCTAGGCAGGGGCTCTACCACTGAGTCATGCCTCCAGCAGGGGATGATAGGCATTACCACTGAGCTACAAGTAATTAATGAAGCTCAATGATGGCTAAATAGGTACTGAATACATGCTTGTATTAAGACTTCGTGTGTCTGGGACCGGAGAAATGACTTAGTGGTTGAGAACACTGGCTGCTCCTCCAGGGGTCCTGAATTCAATTCCTCGGCAACCACATGGTGGCTCACAACCGTCTGTAATGGGATCTGATGCCCTCTTCTGTCATTCAGGCATACGTGCAAATAGAGCACTCCTATGCATAAATAAATAAATAAATCTTGAAAACAAAAGACTTCTTGTGTCTGAGTTCCTACTACATACGCTTTTTTTTTTTTCTTTTTTAAGACAGGGTCTTGCATAGCCCAGGCTAGCCTCAAACTTACTATAAAGTCAAGCAGACCTTGAACTCCTGCTCCTCTTACCGCCACTTCCCAAATACTGGGATTACAGGTGTGCAACAGAGCTCAGCTGGTTCTTGTTCTCTGTGTTCGTATGTCCGCTTGGGTGCAGGTGCCCACAGAGACCAGAAGCATCAGATCCTTTGGAGCTGGAGTTATAGGTAGTTGTGAGCCACCTGATGTGGGTGCTGGGAACCAAACTCGGATCCTCGGCAGGAGCAGTCGGTGCTCTTAGCCATTGGGCCATCCTTCCAGCCCTTGCTTTTCTGTTTGTTTGCTTGTTTGTTTTTGTTGTTGTTTTTTAAGACAGGGTCCCCTGTGCAGCCTAGGTTGACTTGGGACTTGCGGCAGCCCCCCAGTCTTAGCCTCTCAAAGTTCAGAGATTACCCGTGTGGGCCCCGGTGGCCGCTTGCTCACCTATTTGCATGTATATACGCCATACGTTCAAGGTTGTTCTCCACCTTGGACTAGAGAAACACTGTACGCGTCTCTAGGTGTGCATTCCTTGTCTTTCGGCTGCATACCTGGAGTCATTCACCGGACCTGTAGCTCTCCCACTTGGCTGGCCATAGCCCCAGGGTCCTTCTGACTCTGCCTTCCTGGTCCTGGGACTGCGGCTGAACTACCATGCTCAGCTTAGGATCACAATTTACCCCGTGGGTTTGGGCAGCAAATGCTCGCTCTATCCACCAGGCCACTTCTCCAGCCTACTTACTAAACACAATTCCACACACCAGCTAGCTTTACTGGTGCTTGATGGAATCCCAACACCCTGGAGGCAGAGGCAGCAGAAAAAGTGTAAGTATGAGTGAGGCAAGCCTGGTCTACATGCTGAGTTCCAGACCAGCCAAGGCTACATAACAAGACCTGGTCTCAAAAAACAAAACAAAACAAAACCAGATACCAGCAACTCCACCCCTTCAAATGCTCTGAGGATAATTTAGGGTAGTCCCTTAGTCCCTTCACAGCTGTACAACTGTTACCACTTTCTGCCTCTCATTTTGCCAAGAGTGGCCTGGAACTCACCGTTATCCAGGCAAACCTGGAACTTAAGGGAGAGCAAGTGAGCCTTGACGTTTAAATACAATAACTGCTCGGGGGTCCTCAGCGTAATGTGAGCAGTAAACTCTGTGTGACATCCACCCATGGCTCAAACCACACACACGCTCTGTGTCAGCCTATTTTCTGTCTGGCTCAGAAGTTGGTTACTAAGGTCCCAAAATGTTAGGTCACCAGTCACAGGGCAATTCTGAAAGGTAAGTCAGGTTGGACTTGGTGGCACAGGCCTGTCATCCCAGCTTTTTGGGAGGCTGAGGCAAGAGGATCACAAGTTCAAGTCCTGCCTAGGCTACTTGGTGAGACCCTGTCTGAAAATAAAGAGGATGGACTGCAGTGATAGAGTGCTTGCCTAGCATGCTCAAGGCCTGGGGCTCGATCCCCAGCACCACGGAAAACAAGACAACAACGGGGGGACTTGAAGCCACAAGTGCTTAGCACTGTGCCCAGTACCCACCGAGTAAAATTAGCATTCAGCCACATAGCTAAAAGCACACACTCCTGAGCTAGGAAGCATCCTAGTACTATCAGGCGGTGGCTGTATGCTCATGGGCGGACCACTTAACTACTGTGGGCCTCAGCTTCCCCTTCTGTGTAATGGGCATAATGGGATTCCCCCCCTTAGACTAATGAACAGCGTAACACCTATGAGAGGTGCAGCACACGGCTACCGTGTACCACGCATCATAAAACCCCAACCTCTTACTAGCATTAAAAGGCGTGTGGTCATTTCACTTTCAGGAACTCATGTCCAAGCCAGATAGTGATGTACATCTGTAATCGCAGCTACCGTGAAGGCTAGGTCAGGGAAGTTGGGAGTTCAAGGGCAGCCTCAGCTACATGTTAACACCTTGTCTCAAAATGAAAAATAAAAAAGGGGAGGAGAGCTGAGAGATGGCTCAGAGGTTAAGAGCACTGGCTGCCCCAGAGGTCCTGAGTTCAATTCCCAGCACCCACATGGTGGCTCACAACTGTCTGTAATGAGAGCTGGTGCCTTTTTCTGGTGTGCAGGCAGACATAATAAATTAATCTTTAAAAAAAGAAAAGAAGGGAGCCAGTGGGATGGTTCAGTGGGTACGGGTCTACAGGCCTGAAGACCTGAGTGTGATCCCTAGGACCCACATGGTAAAAGGAAAGATCTGCCTCCTGCAGGTTGCTTGTGACCTCCACACACATGATGTAAAGTAAATAGAGCACAAGAATGGGCTGAAGTGTAGCTCAGTGGCAGGGTACTTGACTACCATGCACAAGGCCCTGGGTTCCACCCTCAACTGAAAAAAAAGGATAGAGAATGAGCAGAGGGAGGAACAGAAACGAAGGAAGGAGGGAGAGAGAAACCACAAGGGTGTAGATTTAGCCGAGGGGAAAATATTTATGCAGCATGCCCAAGACCCTAGATTCAATCCTCAGCATGTTTCAAAGTTTCCCTGCTGGGAAGCCTGGCTTTGAGCCCTATCTATCCTAGACAGGCACGCTCCTGCCCATTTTACAGATGATAAAGCTAAGGCCCAGAGAAAGCAGATATCACAACCAGAAAGCAGAGCTAGCCGCTCAAAGTCTGTACCCTGAGCCCTGGATTCTTTACGGGCTTTCACTGTCTTCCCTGAGCCTTATTCTTCATTCAATCTATCCGCCTTACCCAACCTAAGCAGAGAAACGGGAACAGGATGTTACACGCTCCTTCTAAGAACTCCTTCTGCTGAGCCAGGGAAACCCAGTTCTGGGCAGCCCAGAGAGGAAAGGGGTGGGCGCGCCCAACAGGCAGGCTAAGGCAGAGCCAGGTCCAGGCGCCTATGGGAAGAGCAGCTGGAGGGCAGGGCCGAGGTGAGCCCCGTGTCCTTAACCGCTACGTGAGAATCATTCATCATTCCATCCCTGGGAACACATCTGAGAAGCCCTTGACCCTGTCTCCCCCACCCCAGGGAGCCTCCCAACCACCTCCCCGGATGTTCCCTAACCTCCATCTCCTCCCCTTTGGCCCCTCTCCATGAAGCCTCTTCCAGCCTTCATTACAAGCATCCCTCCTCCCTTTCCTTGTTACAAAGATCATTGCGCCTCCAAGTCCCCTGCTCTTTGGGCGAAGACTCATTTCCTGTTCTGACATCCCCTATACCATTTCCTTTCTTTCCCACGTCCCCGTCCAAAAGCCCCATCTTGGAGGTGGAAGTTCCCCCTAAATCCAGTGCTCAGGCCCTGCTCCCAAAGTTCTCCCCCACCTCAAATGTCAAGTCTCCAAGCCTATTTTGCACCCACCCAGACCTCTCCTCTATGGAAAGTTCTGTTCAGCTGCTTCCCATTCTCTTCTAGAATCCACTCTCAACTTCCAGTCCGCTCTCCTTTTGCAGCAACCTAACCCTAAATCCTACGGGGTGTGTGTGTGTGTGTGGGCGACTTCCGGTCTCCAGGGTCCTCTTCCTCCCTTGAGAGAGTCTCTCCCCCTGGCCATATCCGACTTGTCCCAACACTTGTGCTCCCTTCCCATAAGGAAGCCTCCCTACCCACTCTGTAGAGTCTCTAGTTCTCCTCCATTATCTCCTCCTCATCTCCAATGTCTTCTCCCGCCTCTGGGGTTTCAAAATCTCCCCCCAAATGTCTCCCACCAGGGCAGTCCCTCCCCTGGAGACTCCTTCCCCTCCACATCCTCTGGCTTGGAACCCCAAGTACACCCCGCAGTGCAGCATCGAGGCCCTGATCTGCCTTTCCGACCCCAAGCCCGGGAGCCTGCGCCCGGCCCGGCCCATCCACGGCAGGAGGAAGCCTGTCAGCTCCGAATCGAAACTCCGCGGTCCGTGCGTGGACCCTCCCTTCCAGCCCGTCCCCGGTACGACGCTCCCCTCGTTACCATGGCGACCCCTGTCCGGACCCCAGAGGCCCGGGTCCCGCGGAAACTGGGCGGCTCCGGCTCTGCCTGCAGTTGTGGGGCCCAGGGCTATAGCTGACTTCCGGCAGGAGAACCCGCCTTCCTCCTCATGCACGGCCCTCTGGGAGTTGTAGTTTAAACGCATGCGTTGGCGAGTAAGGGTCGCCCCGGTCGGGACGCCTTCCCAACATGCTCTGCGGTTGCCCTTTTCCTATCCAGAAAGCCAGCCTCCAAATGCACGCTGGACTTTGTGAATGACAGTCTCTGTATAACGACAATTCCCATAGGCTAAAAGTGGGCGAAATGGGAGATGCATTTCGGGAAATGTGGTTCTAGTGCTACCCACACCCCCATTCCAAAGCTCCCTCCCGAGGGCATGCTGGGAAGAGTAGTTTTTTTCTTTTGAGTTTTTTTTTTTTAATTTTACAATTTCATACATATATAATGAACTTTGATAATATTCCCCCATTACCTTCTTTTACTCCCTTCTCCTCCCACCAAAACCCCTACTTCCCCAAAGTCCTCCTACTTTCATGTCCTTTCTCTACTCCCCCCGCAACACCACCTCCTCCCCCCCCCCCCCCCCCCCCCCCCCCCCCCCCCCCCCCCAAAAAAAAAAAAAAAAAAAAAAAAAAAAAAACAAGAAACAACCAGGCTTTCTCTCTGTCAAACAAACAAACCAGGGTTTCTCTCTGTAACAGTCCTGGAACTCACTCTGTAGACCAGGCTGGCCTCAAACTCAGAGATCCACCTGCCTCTGCCTCACAAATGCTGGAATTAAAGGCGTGCGCCATCACTGCCCGGCTTTTTTAGTTTGGCTTGGTTTTGGCTTTTCAAGAAAGGTTTTCTCTGTGATCTGCCTGTCTCTGTTTCCCAAATGCTGGGATTAAAGGCCTGTGCCACCACTGACCAGCAAGAATAGTAGTTTTAAATAAAAAAATCACACTGTGAACCTAAAAATGTAACTGTCTTTCTATGCTCATGCAGTACTCTATTAAAAATAAACGAGGTTAGGGATGTAGCTCTGACATAGCCTTCCTCATAAATATAAATAACACTATATACATAAAATAAACAACCTGGCCAGACAGTGATGTGTGTCTATAATTCCACTGAAGTGTATTGCTATGGATTTGAGGCTCTCCTGAGTTATATGCTGACTCTCAGGCTAGCCTGGCCTATAGAGTCAGAGTTTGTCTCAAAAATCTAAAAACAGCACTAGAGAGATGGGTGAATGGATGAAGACCCCTGCTGCCAAGCCTGACAACCTGAGTTCCGTCTCCAGAACTCATGCAGGAAGGAGAGAAAAGTAAGGGAAACAATCCTTTCATGTGGGACTCTTTCTGGAATAAGCACCCAGACACCAGTGGCGGTGGAAGAGAAGTCCCTGGTAGACTGGAGCCAGGATAGTTCCTCGGGCTTCAATCCCCAGTCCGGTTTGTATTCTCGCCTTATACTCTAAAACCACAGGTGGGGCAGACAAGCGAGATTTTACAGAAGCGATTGTGGCCTCTATGGCAGGGCAACGACCCATCTTTTCAGCTGTTTCTCTAGAACATTCTGTTCCAGGTGACAAGTCACGCTGGGCCAATAGGCAGCGCAAGCAGTGACTTGAGCAGATCACTGAATAAGCTGATAAATCAATATCGCATAATTGGCCTTTTCTGCCTTTTTCTACTGCATGCTCCCTTTAGCTCCTTAGGACCTGTGAACTGATCCTGAAGAAATGGGCTGCTACTCCTGGCCTGTCATGGTTTTATCGCTTTCATTCCAGTTCTGATGAACCTGGAAAGGGTGGTTAAGACGTATGGTCCTAATATAAGTCCTTGCATTATCATCTTAAGAGGTCCCGCAGCAGAGTCAGCCAGGGTCCCCATGTTGTCCATATTGTACTCCAGAGGCTCTCATTTGTACCTCTTGCCTTAATCTTTTCTAAAAATTTCTTGTACTATTTCTGATTAATTAGCATAAAACAGTATTCTTCATTTAAAACCATGGATATGCCTTCCTCTTTGGTGGTAATCAAATCTAATCCTCTACAGTTTGGAGAAACATTGCCACCCAAGACTTTCTCTGATTCTGGAGAGTGTCTAGGCTTTCCTGAGCAATGGTCAATCGTTGATCTGAGTAGGGACCTGACTGAGCAGAACTTGCTGGATGCCTATTGCTGCGGAACCGGTCACCACGGGCCCCATCAGGGCCGTTCCTAGCAGGACTGCTAAAAGTGCAGGAGTTCTTTTATTTCTTGACTCTCAGGGATGTAAGTATTGCTGGACCTCGCTTCCTGGGAGCACATCTAAGTAGGGTACTGGTCTGCATCTGTCTCCTGGGTAGCAGGTGTAGACACGTTAGGGGCAGGTGAGGTATGTACCATTAGGAACTAGTGCGGTGGGGTTTTGTTTTGTTTTTGTTTTTTTTCGAGACAGGGTTTCTCTGTGTAACAGTCTTGGCTGTCTTGGAACTCACTCTGTAGACCAGGCTGGCCTTGAACTCACAGAGATCCGCCTGCTTCTGCTACCCAAGTGCTGGGATTAAAGGCATTCTCCACCACCACCACCCAGCCTAGCTACTGCTTTTTTAACTAGGCTGTTACAGCCCCCTTCATTCCCCACACATTGGCCTTCTTCTGTGACCTGAGCAGGTGGTCCAGTTAAATATGCCCTTTTGTGTTATTAGTCTGGCTTTGGTTAGTCGTTCCTACCCCAGTATAGGTACCCTGTCCTTCACACAAGCACATTCAGCAGGCTTGACCTAGAGATAGGTCTGTTAGGTTCAGGAACTCGTGGCTGGCATTTACAAAAGCCAGTATTTTGAGACACGGCTTTCCCACATGAAGGGTTTCTCTACGGTCAGTTCCCATATTATTCCTCCCAGGTTCCCCTCACAATGACCCATTATATCCTTAATTCCTTGTCCCTCTGTGGGAGCTCCCTTTCACGGCAAAGTCCACACACGGCCAGTATTTAAGGTAACACCAATAGGTTTCCTCATAATCGTTTTGCCCTCTGGCCCCTCGTCCTTAGGCTGTCACTGGCTGGGGCCATCTCCAAAATGAATCATCATTGGCATTCTTGGTGTGGTTAGTTCTGTCACAGCATGATGATGTCTGGGGGATGATCCATGGTTGGCCTAGTCTCAAGTAATACCACCCAAAGGAGATAAGGCAGAAAAAAATACCCTCTGGGGAAATGGTGCATTATATTGTGGGTGTCCAGGAATGGGAGCTGCCCTGGGACAAGGTTGGGGAACTGGCTCAGATGTGCATCTATGGGATCAGGATGGACACCAGGGAGCAGAGGAGAAGCTGAGCCTCCATCCTGAAGTCATTTTGAGAGGCTCAGCTCTTGTGGTGCACTCCTGGCTTGGGTCCACAACAGCCTTGTGCTCTGTCCATAGCTTGTCACCTTCGACCTTGCTGTACAATGTCAGCTAAGTCTTTCAAGGACCGCTGGAAGCCGGGCAGTGGGTGTGGCCAAGCTTTTCATCCCTGCACCCGGGAGGCAGAAACAGGCAGATCTCTGTGAGTTCGAGGCCAGCCCGGTCTACAGAGTGAGTTCCACGATGGCCAGAGAAACGCTGTCTCAAAATAAAACAAACAAAACCAAAAACAACACTGGAGGCAGGTGTGTCCATCCTCTCAGAGGTTCCCTGAATCCTTTGGGAGCAGTGGAAGTGGTGAAGGGGCCAAGCATTATTTCAAAAGGAGAGTAACCACACTTACAGAGCGCACAGTGCACCCCAAATAGTATAGGTGGCAGAATTTCTGATCAAGGGAGGTCTGTTTCTGGGCAACGTTTGGCCAGTGCCATTTTTTTTTTTTTTTAATTTTATGCATGCGTGCTCTATCTGCATGTACAACTTTTGCCAGAAGAGGGCATCAGATCCCACTATAGTGTTTGTGAGCCACCATGTGGTTGCTGGGAATTGAACTCAGAACCTGTGGAAGAGCAGCCAGTGCTCTTAACCTCTGAGCCATCTCTCCAGCCCCCGGCCAGTGTCATTTTAAAAGTCTTACTTATTTTCACGACCATGCCTAAAGGTTGGGGGTGGTAGCATGTGCACAAGTTCCAAGTTAATTCTCTGTGCAGGAAGGAGAGGATTCTACCCAGCCTGAGAATGCGCACATCACAAGCAGCGACTATTGGTCCCTTCTGTTGGGTTCAACGTCAGTAAAGAACACTTCTAGATGTTTAAATGTGTAGGACTCTAGCTTTTGTGTTGACATGGGGTCCCCGCTTGGGATTATTCTGAGCACGGTGCAGATAGTCCTTGTTAGCTTATTGGGTCATTGTCGGCAACCTCGGCACCACCAAATATATCTGCAACATTTCTTCTCGTTGATTGTTTTCCAGACAGCCCTGGTTGTTCTGGAACCCCAACTCCCTCTGGAGCCTAGGCTGGCCTCCCAAGTGCTGAGATCAAGAGGGCCACCATAATCAGCTTCTTGCAACAGTTCTCATAGGGCGGTTTTCCCCGGAGGGGTTGCTGTGTGAGCTTGTCAGACTAGGTTGGGAGCTGGGGTTGCTGTGGGTATTATTGTTTTCTATCAGTGGTATTCAGACAGCCCTCCTGATTTTTAGTAGCCCTGTTATCAGGTTTTTGTGTTTTGTTTTGTTTTTTACATTTAAACTTATTTATTTAATTATTGAGTGTGTGTGTGTGTGTGTGTGTGTGTGTGTGTGTGGGTGGGTGAATGGGCACGCTACAGTGTTCACGTGGAGGCCAGAAAACAACCTGTGAGCATTGATTCTCTCTTTCCTCCAGCTGGTCCTGGGACTCAGACTCAGGTCATCAGGCCCGACAGCAGGAACTTGACTCACTGAGCCATCTCACTGGCCCACATCAATTTTTGTTTGTTTGTTTTTTTCTCCTTTTCTGGTCTATATGAGGGGAGTTCTGGGTGTAATGAGAGGAGACTTTGGAGCTATGGCTTCATGGACTAGACCTCGGCTCTTTGTGTGAGCCTGGTAGTGTATCACTGCCAGAGCCAGGGGAGCCCAGACAGCTTCTCGGAGCTGGAGGACTTGGACTCTGTTTTTGCCTTCTTTGTCCCCTGAGGCAAGCAGTCCCCTTCCTTGATATATTATTGTTGGTTTGAGTCTCTTGATGTGTAAGGAGCTATTCCCCTGTCATAGGCTTCAGCTCTCATCAGTAAAAGGTTCCATA